CTCATCCTTTGTTTGTCTGTCTCCTGCTCATTCTGAGGACATCACTACACATGGGAGGAGCGGAATTAGTTCTTACAGTCTTCCGCCCACCTTCTTCCAGCCCTTTGTCCTGCTGGTCTTTAGGATTCAGCCTCTTTGTCAGAACTATCTTGTGCCATAACCAACCCTGAACCACTGACTCACACCACACCATGGGATGTAAAGTTTCCCCCTTGCACCTTCTGTTCTTGTCTAAGCATCAATTCTATCTTCCATGAAATAGGTGTATCTGCAGGATTTTTAGAATGATCACATGATTTCCTCAACAGACTCAACATGTAGCATATTATCTGGCAGCTAAATGGATATGAATTCCAATTTATTCATTGCCAGCACCTTCAGATTGAGCTTTTCAGTTATCGAAAATCTCTGAGAACCTTACTTCTCTCTGAGATAATCAGACCACTTCAACAGAGTCTCTAAATAGGAAAGCAAATCAATAGGAAATTATGTCAAACCAGACATTTAGAGCAGGATTAGTGACATCTGTGGGGGTACAATGGTAGCCATCAACTCCCTTTCCTCTGATACTGAGGCATTACATAACAAGAAGTATATAAAGTGCTTAATACACTGCCTACCTAGTGCAGAAGGAGGTTTCAGTAAAAAAATAGCTATTATTAAAATCTTATCAGAACATTATGTTTATTAAATTTCAAAAGAACTTAATTCTTTTTCTTAGAGCAAAGGAAATCAATCAAAGTAATATGTTGACATGTGGATTACAAATACTAATTCTACCACTTTCAGAATATAACTACAGATTTTTGGTAATTATTTGGTAACTTCAATTTAGAAGTTAAAAAAATAAAGGCAACAGAACTCACAATAGATAGGAATGATCAGTTTGTGAGTGAAACATTTAAATGTTGACTCATAAATGGCAGAAAAGTAGATGAAGGAAGGACAGAAATGATAGAACAATTATAACAAACGTGAGAGGCTGGATTTTAGTTGACATTATGAAAATGGCAGGCATTTCTCTACTTTTTTTTCATAAGAGTTAAGATTGGTTCACTACTGCCCACTTGTTTATTGTATTAAAGAACATCAAGAACACAGAATTGAATTCATCATAATATGGGTTCATAAAGCCCTGTAATCATTATTCTACACAGAGATAGAGATCTCTTTATTTATTTTATTCTACTTAGGTGATGATGACTTACCTCTAATAAATCGGCAAATACCTCAGAATCCCTGATTTAACTGAAGAACAAAAGCATTAGAAATAATCTACATGCTCCTCTCTACTGAATTCATCAACTAGAAAAGCACAACATTTAACGATAATTTCTCAACACTTGTCCAGTTTCCTGTTTTCTTACTGAGGGAACAGGGCACATCCTGGTCTGTTAGAGATGGGACTTTGGTGGCTTTGTGTAATGAGAAATGAAAGGAACCAGATAAAATCTCCCAACTCTTCAACTTGTTTTACTTATGTGGGGGCAAATACAACCTTTTTATTTGACTGTCTAGTTGATTTTTATTCTTTTGTTCCTCCAGATGGACAGTCTACTTCTCTTTACCTTGCCTTGGGCATTATGAGGTAGACCCTCATGGACTGCACAGATGGTTTTCCTTATTCTCTGGTTGCTGTTTGGGAGCAGCTAATGGAAGCAGCAGCAAGAGACTGAGAAGTGGGAGAGAGTGAGCTTAGGGCTCCCTCCCTGAAGGAGGCCTGTATCCTCACAGGGACCAACATATAGTGACAACTCCTGCCATACCCAGAGCTTCATGTTCAGGCATAAGAGGTGCATGTGGGAGAAGTAATTCTCTTTTATACCACTCAACCCACTGGAGGAATGTGTTTCTTTTTTCTCAGGGCCCTGGATCCACAGGCTTGGAAATCTAGTTCCCAAGAAGAAATACTTTTGTCAGGTGACATGGTGATGGTTCTTTGAACTTCAAATTCCATTGGCCAACTTTCCATTGGAAATCAGAGCAAAGATTCCCATTACTGTAATTCACAGGGGTTAGGTTCCTGGGGCACAGAGCGATGGGGAGAAAAGTGGAGCATTGATCCTGAGGAGGAAATAGGAGCTTTCACAGTATCAATCCTTTGCACACCTCAGCATCCATTCTTGTCCTTTGCCTAGGGGAGAAATCTGTCCCCCCACAGCAGGGGACACACAGGGTCCTACTTGAAAGCCTATCTTCCTCTCAGTCTCCAGGTGAACATGTGAGGTTGATTTTCTAGCAAACTTCCATGAATGGTAGCAGATCATGTTTTCAGGCAATAAAAGTGCCAAACAACTATGTTGAAAAAAACTATGGTTGTGTGCAATTCTGCTTGGGATGATCTCATTCGCTCATCTGCATGTGGACAAAAGAGATGTAAGGAAACCAAGGAAATTAAGTACAGTGTTACTAGAAGACTCAGTATCACTGCCACTGTCTATAGTACCTGGTATCTGTCCTTCACTGGGGAAAAGACCCACTCAGCCGAAGAAGTTACTCTGAGCTCTCCAAGCATGAACCTGGTCTCTAACTTGGCAGATGGAGTCAGTAGGAATCAGCAGAGAAAACAAGATTTTGTTTTGTAAAAGAAGCAAAGGTTGTTGGAGAAGAGGGGAGAAATAGTGGTCAAGACAGAGGCTATTACACACATTTCTAACCATCAGACTTCATGTGTCTAAGTGTTCAATAATATGCAAGAATTTTAATATTAAGTAACATGTGAATTCTTTTTAACAATAAATTTTAAAATAAAAATCAAAAGCCATACAGGTTTTCCATGAGTCAATTAGGGTATGGAAGTAACATAGTAAAAACTCTCCTGATCCCAATGTTTAGAAGTGACCTCTCCAAGTTGTGCCCTTTCCTCTACCCAAGATGGTGTCCCTGAACCCATCCTGGGGGTGGAACATAAAGAACACCCAACACAAAACAATCAGCATAGATTTCCAGGTGTTCCCAGAAATTTTTAGAGTTGTGATTTTTAGAAGATGACTCTCATGTAACAGACATGACATTTTGCCCACTACTAGTGTGTGTGATCAATTGAGAATGGATAATATAACTATGAAAACTGATTTTTTGAGATGTTCTTAGACTTTTTTCGGCATCAATTTCATAATATAATGTTGTTTCTATTACTCAAAATCATTGTGTCTCACCCACCTCAGGAATGAAATAAATGAGTTGAGCCCAAATCATCAGGATATTTCAAGCATCCATCTATGCAAAATCCCCCACCTGTGAGGTAATGTGAGCCCCTCTCTAATAGTAAAAATATCAATCTCACTTCAACAGACATTAATGGAGTCACCACTGTACTTGGTCCTGTACATTTTAACAAGATGCTTTCAGTGTTGTTAGAATCAGCCATTTAAACAACCATTTAATTAGCAAACATTTACTTAGGATGGGAGGGCTTATTGGTCTCTGGCTGGTCTGGCTTTACTGTGTGTGGTCAAAGTGTCCTTGGTGAAGCTCACCTTATCCTCAAGGAGAAGGGCAGGAGGAGGAAATGACTCCAAAAATGACTTGTTGTTCTCTCCACATAGGGGTTGTTTTCTCCATGCACAAGACCATTGTCCTCTCAGCTTGTAACTCAAAGGCACTATAGACCCATGTTGCAAACTGAGATTTAAATTGACTTGGGAGGACTTCTCATGACAGCGTCTTCATATTTAGCTAATTTCTCTGTAACGAAATTATAATAAGTGTTTTGGACTTTCCTCTCAATAATCATGTTTACCAATGCTATTAAGTGTACATAAAATTTGAATCTTTGATTGAAAATACAATTAATTCAGCTTAGACCTCCTCAGACAGCTTTTGCTTCTTCCCCACATATGGCAGCAGGTGTTTTCCTGTTTGGGACTGGAGGATCAGTAATATAGATTTTCTTTTTTTTTCTGAAGAAGTTGACAAACTTTATAAGAAGTTAGTAAACATATTGGTATCTTATTTGTACAATTTTGCTTTAACAGAAATCGGTCACATAATCGTGGCAGGTAAAACACCCATTTTACAGAGGCGATAACAGAGGTCCAGGGAATCTGGCCCCCAAATCCCATATGGAGTAGCATTCAAGGAGAAGTGGAAGGCTGTAGGCCCCGGGCTCAACCAAGGTTGATACATCAACCTGCCTGAGGATCATGTCCCCGCACAGGAGTTGAGCACCAAGCTTGCCAGTGCATGAGGATGCTGAGAAGCTAGCCCTGCTGTTTTCGGTGCTTTTGATCCCTGATTCTCCACTGTAAAGTAACTAGCAGTGGGCAGGGCAGCAACTTAGAAAATGGAATCAGAAGGTGACTTCCAATCTCAGTTTTCAATCATTTTATGGTAAATCTCTCTTGAATGATTTTCACAATACTTTATTCTCACATTCTTCACTGGTGATGGCCAGAATCTTCAGTCGCCGGTCTGTCACAGCTCTGTTCAGTAGAAATAAATGTATGTCACAATTTGAGACACATTTTCTAACTGTGGCATTTTTTAAAAAGTTAAAGAAACAAAATTCTAGGACTGTTTTTATTTACTGCGAGATATCCAAAATAGTGTTTCAACAGTAATCAATATAGAAATTACTAGGATATTTCATCTGTTTTTATAGTCTCCAAATGTGATTTGTATGCTACACAAACAGCCCATCTCAGTTTGCACTAGTGCACTAGCTACATTTCAAGTGCTCAGGAGCTACATGTGGCTAGTGGCTAGTGGCTACTGCATTGAGCAGCACAGATTCTGCTCCAAGCGCTTCAGAAACGCTGCGCCGGACGATCTTTAGAAAAGTCCCTCCAGACTGGACAGCTCGCTGGGTCTGCGCCAGACTGCGCGCCAGGGGCTCCTTAGCCTGCAGGGTTCTGTGCAGTGGACCCGCGGAGAGCGAGAGTCTGGGGTGCTGAGGCTGACCCAGGGCAACCCCAGGGACCCAGAGCCGGTGGAAGATGCCGGGCATGGAGCGCCCTGGGAGACAGAGACCTTTTTGCTCAGGGACCTGGTCAGAGCACAGGGCTGTGCTCTTGCCAGGCAGCGCAGTAGTACACGCCCTCGTCACGCTTCTCCAGCTTCAGCACCGACAGAATACAGCTGTTGCTCTCCCTGCCCTTCTTGGCATTGACTTTGTCTGCTTTCATGGGAAAATCCCTCTGCACATAGGACCTGGACATGTCTAGGTAGAGGAGCCTCTTGGGGGCCGTACCCTCCTGGTGGCGGTACCAGTGGACATAGCTGACGGAGGTGTCTACTTTGCATTGCAGGGTGGCTGAGCTCTCCAGGGGCAAGCGCACCACCACCAAAGCAGGCTGATCCAGCTTGAGCCCTGCTCCACCACCTGCCAGGGGGAGGAGGGGACAGTGGTGAGACAGGGATGGCCAGGAGCCTCAGGGTACCCTGCACGGGGGGAGCGTGTCTGGACTTACCGGGAAACAGGAGAGTGCACAGGATGGCAAGGAGACCCAGCATGGTTCTGCTTCCTACCTGGAAAGAAACCCAGGGTGACCTCCTAGATGCACTTGCTGGGAGGAGACTGCCTGGGTGGTGGCAGAGGGCAGGTTAGGATCTGAGCTTCTGCTTCCCTGAGGCACCTGCAGGTAATGATGAGAGAGAGGCAGGAGAAAGGGAGGGAGGGGCCAGAGGGCAGGGACAGGTCTGACCACAAGGGGTGGAGGGAACATCCATGGTTAGGGGGCTGAGAAACAATGAGGAATGTTGGTGCAAGGAGAATACCAGTGATAACAGCAATCCTTGATTGGACTTCGACTACACCTGAGCACCACACTAATTTGTTTCAGCTTATTTTTTTTTATCACATCTGAAAATCACCCTGTGGGATGAATGGTAATACCCTCAATTTAGAAATGGGGAAAGCCTGGCTGGTATTTTAAGTAACCTTAGGCAACATGCCTAAGGAGGATTAGGAGATGGGGTTGTGAGCCAGGTCTGCCTGGAGACAAATCTCAAGCCTCAAATGGCCACTTGGTACTGACAGAGCAATGGGTGTGCAGGCTGCTCGGGATGCAGGGACAAGCACAGAGCAGAGATCCCTGCTGAAAAGGCAGCAGGCCCCCTGAGCTAGCACTGGGGCATTTCTCCCAGAGGTCTCCTCGGAACATGTAAATGCCCTAACATGACATGATAGCTGTACACAGGAGTCTTGGGCAAGCTAGTTCTCCTTTTCCTCATATGTCAAAGGGACCTCATTAGGTTGCATGCAGAGTAAGCAGGGAATGTAAGCAAAGCCTGTGTCCTGTCCCAGATGCAAAGAAAAAGCTCAGGAAATGTTGGGGATTGGTATTTCATCTTAAAACTGGACTAGTTACAGTAGATGATTTCTGGGGTCCTCATAGTGTAGTATTACAGGGAATATTACAGTTATGGAAAATCAGGTGTATGTGTGTGTGTGTGAGTGTGTGTGTGTGTGTGTGTGTGCAGGAGCACGAGAATGCAAGCAAAGCAAGTTAATTTAAAAGAGAATTGCTGTTGTTCCTGAGGCAAAAAGGTAACCTCACATAGGGTTGCCAGATTTAATGGAAAAATAGTGCAAAATGCTATGCAATATCTGGACATAAACTACAAAATTATTTGTTGTTTATCTGAAATCCAGGGAAATGCAAATCAAATACACAATGAGATATCACTTCACACCTATTTGAATGCCTATTATCAAAAAGTACAAATAACAAGTGTCATCACAGAAGCTGGGAGGTGAGGAAGCACAGGGACTTGGGGTGACTGTCCTTTGCTCAAGGACCCCATGTGCTCCTGCTGTCCCAGGAGCAGCTCTGAGAACAGACGCTCCCAGGCAAGCTCAATGCCTTGCAGTCCCAGAAAATCCTTCCTGGGACAGAAGACTCATGGTTTCAAAAATAAGAAAATATAAAATTGTCATCACATTAAAGCAGAAAGAGTGTTCTTAAAGTGGTAATAAGAGAAGTCTACTTCAGAAACTGCAATCAAAGCTTCCCATCTGTCTGCTTTTGCCACAGGCTCTGAGGCTGCCAGGAGCTCACGGTCTGCAGGGAACGGTGGGTTCAGACCGACTCCATGTTCCTGCCAGCCTCCCAGACCTGCTGGCCTCAGGAATGGTCCAGTCATGGGGCCAAGCCTGGGAGCCCAGCTCTCTGCGCAGGCAACGATGTCATCTGATCAATGGTACGCTGAGGGGAGAGGTCCTTCTCAGTACGTAGCTGCCAAATGGGACACTTGGAAGAGTCTGAATGATACCTCCTAACTCTGGGAGGATTTATTACATTGACAAGGACAGAATGACTGCTCCAGTCCAAGCCCTGCCACTTGGAGGATGTGTGTCCTTGGGAAAGTCCCTGTAAATGGGAATAATAATGCTCACACTGGGGACACCATCCACCATGGGCCAGGGATTGGACCAAGTTGGTTGCTTTGTAAATAAATACCATCAGTCAGTCTGAAGTATGATGTGACTCTTATAACCACTTATTCCTTATAATAACACGTCAACATAGTTATAACAACCACATATGACAGAGCAGCTAACTGGAATCTTAAAATATTTCATCTGTGCCATCACATAAATAATGGAGCCTTGATTCAAACACAAAGCTAACAAATGCAAAACCTGTCACACCACCCATTCTATATACGTAGAATTCAACATATATATACACAGAGACAGAGAGAGTTATGTTTAACCTCTAAAGAGTAAGGGGTCATGAGGAAAATTTCAGTGAGATTGCAGAATTCAAGAATCTCTCTCACATGCCAGGGAGCAAGGGGCATAAACTGTTCTTGAAGAGCATTCAGGTAACAGTGCTGGGCCTCAGAATGTAGTAGAGACTCTTCTAACACTGGTGAAACAATAGCTGCTTGCCTTTTGGAGAGACTAATTTTTTTAAGGTCGTAACAGTAATCATTGATCCATTAATAATGTCAAATACATTTTATTGAATGTCATACATGGTACATATTGATTCCTTCCCTGCAAGCATAAAACAGGTGTTATTAATCCCATTCTTCAGATCAGACAGAGGCTTTGAGAGGTTGAGTAGCCCCACTAAGAAGAGCACACCATGAACTTCAAGTCAGCCAGGTTAACGAAGCATGTGCCCTACGTACCCTGCTTGGATGTTTTTGATTCAGAGATTAATTTCTGTTCTCCCTGAGTTGTTTCTTTGAATGCAAATTCTGATCTTATTAAATTTCCCATTTGTTTTAAATAATGTGCTTCCCTCTTAAAAACCTACATTATTTTACTTATTACTTACACTGACTTCTACCACCCCCTGCTGGCCATTGCAGGTATGACACACACCTTATAGTCCTCTGTGTTGGAGCCCAGGTGAATGAAGTGTATTACAACAAAGATCAGCTTAGTGAGGGGAAGGGCCCAGAAATACTAGGCAGGAAACCTATTTTTTCCAAATGTGTACTCAGTATGGGTGGTAGTTTTGTGTAAGTGGCTCCTCCTTGCATGGCCCCAATTTCCCAGCCTCAAATGAGAGGATCGACTGATATGTTTGGTCTCTTACGTACCTGTGAAAACTACAGAGATTTGCTTGTGAATAATGCATATTTACATTTACATAAATGGCACAGCATTCCTGTCAATCCTTGTCTGTCCATCTGTCTGTCCCCCAGTTCACTGCTCCTCGGTGCCCCAAGCTACAGCCACTGCATTAATTCATCCACTGACAGTGACAGACACTCATACTGTTGCCCAGGCTGGCTTCACCAGCAAGCCTGTCACCGACAGCTCAGGAGCTCTGCACGCTGGGAGTAAGCATTTCCCCGGGAATCTCATCCCAGGGTTGCTGGTCCCGGGAAATACACATCCACGTTCTCCATAACCACCGTCCATCCTGTTATCTGACAGCGAAGATTTTACCAGCCTGAGGGCTCCCACACAGCATCACGTTGTTTGAGGAGGTTCTGGGCTCCTGTCTGATGATGAGGAAGCTGAGGGTCTCTGTTTACACCAGGTGTCCATGAAGTGTCTCCCTCAGACACGAGCTTCTCCGTGTGCTTTAGGTGCAGCAAAGGGGAGGCTGGCTCGCAGAGGCTACAGCGCACAGCAGGGCCAGGCCTCCTGTGCTGTTGCCGGGCCCCCCATGTCCTGCCTGTGAGCCCTGGAGTCAGTGCTCCTACCGCTGTTTCTCAGCTCCTCATCTGCAGACAGGAAAATCAGCAGCTACCTCATAGGGTTATGAAGATTAAATAATGTACAACATGCAGAACATTTAGGAACGTTTCAGCTAATAAAGATTGTTATTTATTATTTTCTATACTATTAACAGTAATTGATTAATATTAAATATAAATACAAATATACAATGACATAAACATTAAATTATTAAAAATTAATTAAGATGATAATAATCATTTTAATTACTTGTAACTTGAACAAATTTATGTCTCTTAGATATTTATCCATTCTGAGTTTTAGTTGTTACAAATATCCTCAGCTAATCTATCAATTGTCTAAACTTTGTCTAAAGCCCTTTCATTAACTAGAGATTCTCAGTTTTGTAGTCAATCTCTTGTTGGCACATACTTTGCCTACTTTGGAGTCCTGTTTAAGAAAACCTGTCCCTCTCCAGCACCATGAAAGCGTTCTCTCATTTCTTGTGACATTCAGTTTGAGATTTGAGTCCAGGCTAATCCCGCAATTAGTGTGTCTTGACTTCTGTGAACTGATCCATCCCTCAGTCTCTCCTTTATTTGCTCCTTGCACGTGTACATACGATCCCTGCAGCAGATTCAGAACACAGAGCAGGGCGGTAGAGACTTTATCAGTTACTGGGGAAATGAAGAATTGAATTGTATTGATTTTACACTGAATTCCATAAGAAACGTGAGTGGGTGCTGGCAGAGAAGTGAACAAGTGGAGAACTCTAATGATGTTCCTTCCTAATGAGCTTACATTGAGTACACAGTTATGGAGGGAAAAAAGAGTAATCCAGTGAAAGATATTAAAAATTCTCCTGTATAGACATTGGGGCAGTGACTGGACTTTTCTATATGACCTATTAATATTATATACCTGTAAATATAAAATGTCAGAAAAATATTGACCAAAAATGTGGCTGGTATGAGAAGGAATTGCTGTTTATGAAGGTTGTTAGGTTTTTAGTGATACATGTACGTTAGTACTAAATTGCATCTCGTGTCAGCCTGTAAACTTAATGAGTATCAGAATGTAAAATGCCTCCTCTTCCAGGAAGCTCACTCTGACTACAGGGCATGTGTGTGTGTGTGTGTGTGTGTGTGTGTGTGGTGATTTGCTAACCAATGCTGGCTCTGCAGCTGTGTTAATACTTACAGACTTCACACCCGATGTCCCCTGACCCCATTCTGTCAGTCAGGCTCCTGTTGGCATCACTCTGGGCAGGTGTCATGTCGCTAGGAACCCTAGTTGGGGGATGAGGGACAAGGTCCTGCGGGATGATCTCTGGGCTCCCAACCACTAGGGGGAGCCCCGCCTCTGCATT